GTACGTACTGCCCCTAGGTTCAATTCTCACAAAACACAACAACCCCTCCCACTGTCGTATACGCCGATCCAGAGCATCCCAAACATGCTCAATGGGTGACATGTTAGGGTTAGGGTTTAACCCTAGGGTTTTCGGACCCCCCCAGACCCCCCCCCAATAAAGCAAAACTGCACGTTTCAGAGTGGCCTTTTATTGTGGCCATCCAAAGGCACACCTGTGCAATAATCATGCTGTCTAATCAGCATCTTGATATGCCACACCTGTGAGGTGGGATGGATTATCTCGGCAAAGGAGAAGTGCTCACTGTCACAGATTTTTTCAGATTTGTGAACAATATGAGAGAAATGGTTATTTTGTGTATATAGAAAATGTTTTAGATCTTTGAGTTCATCTCACGAAAAATGGGAGCAAAAACAAAAGTGTTGCATTTATATTTTTGTTCAGTGTATGTAACACTCACTGCTGAGCTCCAGTTTCTTGCGAATGCCGGGCGTCCTTGCAAAGGCATTCCTCCGTTTGGCGCTCAGGCATTTTGAAGCAGACCGTTTGGTGGCTGAATGCATTGACTCTGCCTCTGCAGTACTGGGTTTCCCTGCACTCATGGTGGCCTTGGAGTATCTCACTTCCCCGGGAGCTGCCTGGCACATGATGGCGAGATCCTGAGTGGGCAAGGCGCGTCGAGCAGGGCCTCGGGACGCTGGAGTCGCTGCAGGGGGAGAGCAAGGGGTTGAGGGGGGGAGGAATGATCTGGAACAGGGAGGAGGAGAAGAGGAGGAATCTGGAGAAAGATCAGAATCCACCTGAGCAGAGTCAACCGACTTAAAGGTTTTCGAGTCCCAGGAGAGCTTCACATACAGGGTGTCTTGGTCGTCAGAGTCTGGGAACGGAGCTGCTCCATCCAGACGCTGTACCTGTGAACACAGGACAGACACATAGAGGGTTAGTGTAAAATGCTTAAAAGCAAACATTTTCCCTCTTGCTTCTTGGAGGACCTGTCCATGAAGATATTTGACATCAGAAAACTACTTCAGTGGTGTTGATAAACTCGTACACACACTAATAATTACACTAATTTAGCATGGCATTACATTACTGTCAAACTTGCAACTGACAGATTCACAGCTTTTGGGATTGGGATCATCGTGGGAATAATTAATTGGGTCGTGATCAAGCTAAAATAAAGTCAATCAATGTCCAATCCTTTTTTTACTGAACCCCACTGTTCTGGTTAGATTTAACTTTAAACCATGTGAGAGTTCTTAAGGCAGCCAATGGAGTAGGCTAGACGTGTCGTTTCAATGGGTCAGTCTGACATAAGTGTAATCAACCTTTAAGTAAACATAAGTGTCACATCGGACTCTGAGAAGGACCCAATTAAGGAATGATCAGTGAAATCCTAGTTCTACGATAATTAGCTTTGGCTTTTATTTCTTTAATTATTATAGTTTATTCAAATGTTTATAATTTGGTGTTGTTTGAACTGCAGTTATCAAGACCTAACAAAAGCACACTTGTCCAGTTCATAAAGAAAAAACAATGAATAAATGACAGGAATACTCATGTTATTCAGATGTCACTAAAAGTCACCTTCACAGGTCTGAGGATAGACTCGGCGTCCACCTCATCGTCACAGTTGCGGCCCTGGTAGTAGAAGATCTCCTGAGGGTGGGGCTCTCTGCCCAGCAGCTTCAGCTGGCCCAAAGGCACTTCAGACACACGAACAAACCACTGAACCACCACTTTCTTTTGTTTCCCGTTCTCTGAAACCCGAAGTGAGAGAGAAAAAGATTTTCAGTTACAGTCTTTGGGGACAAAGTCAAGTATAGCATTGAGTCTCTTACCATCTCCATACAGCCGGATGACTTTGGCCACGTATGGGTTGTCTTCATCGTCTCCCTCTATGAGGATGTGTTGGCCAGTTTTAATGACAGTGACCCTGGGGAGACCCTCCACACTAATGTCCAAAGAGCTGGGATATAAACATATTCACATTATTAATTTAAAAAACATTACCACCAAATAAAATATGTATGTATTATCACAGATTAAAGTACTTAAGCAATTAAAATGAGCTCCACATTGATCACCTGCAATATTAAAGTGATGAACACATTTATGAAGCATATACTAATAATTCAATTAAACAGATTAAACTATCTCCAGATATGTTTATTTCAATAAACTAAAAGATGAAATGTTCATTCATGTGTTGACAATTCTGCTGAAGCTATACAACGTTTTAAAAGCCTCTTAGATCAGCTAGAAAATCCATCATCACAATCTGAAACAGGAAACAGGACTACTGAGGAACGTGGTTTCACATCACAGCAGAGCTACAAACATACAGTAGGATCATCTTATACAATATGACGGATTGCTTCAGATTAAACTACCCAACAGTTACAGTATATAAAGAAGTTAACATTAGAAATACCTAATACAACTACAGAAGGGAAATGTAACAAACACAATAATGCTGCAGTAACATTCATCCAGAAATTATATATTAAACCACTAAAAGCGCTTAAAGAGTAGTCTGCTTAACATGTTCCCTACACGCGTGTACTTCATTAAGGTTTCCAATGCACGAGTATTTCAATGTGGTAGCCTACGTGTACTTCAGCAAACAATTGGAATATTTCCTTCGCGACTGAAAAGCGTTCTCCTTTCGTGACTACTGAAAGATACTCACGCATATTCACATGTTTTTAACTTCCTGTTGAAACTGATGGGCTCTCCTCGCCACTTGTAGACTCGTCTGACTCTCAGCCGGGTGAAATACTTCATCCTGTTTCCTTGCTGTCTGCTGCAGTTCAGATAAAACAATACAAGCAATAATTAATATAGGTAAACAAGCTCTGTTTGATTTCATTCAAACACCGCATAGGAAGAAGATGCGCTTTTAAAGAAACAGCCTCAAAAGAAAACAACGCCGCAGACAGGATTTCCCGCGAAAATCGCAAAGGCTGCAGTTTCTTCTTCGTTGTTTCAAAGACAAGGCAGATCAGAAGGAGTGCATGCTGCCCGCTACTGGACAGGAGTATCTTCTTCTTCTCTCAGTTATTGGCAGATTGCAAACAGCTTTAAGGTGCATACTGCCACCTACTGTACAAGGTTATGTATCACCATGTCATCCTAACACCAATTGTGGAAGTATACCACTGTGTTTACGTTATTTTAAATTCTTCTAATCCGCCCTGTTTCAACCAAATACTTAAAAAGGGCCTTCCTGGTAGCTCTTACCCCCTCAACTTCTGTTCCCAGTATCCCGATCAGGCTCCACTCCCCTCCTGCCTCTCTGACCCTGTCACTTAGTTTTCTCTCTTGGTTTTGTAAATGTTGCAATGTGATATGATGTGTTCCACATTTTATTTCACTCCACACCCCCTGCATCCTTCAAATGCACTTTTCCCCATTCTAAACATAGTGCCGTTTAATCCTATAGTTAGGGGGATGACTGTGAATGCCCTCAGACAGAAGGGGTCGAGGTCTGTTATGCTATAATCTACTGAGCTATTGCCAAGAGGAGAGCTGTGTGTGTAGTGACCAAAGGAGTCCCCTCGAAGCCGACCGTTAACAATGTACAGACCCTGTGTTCGGCACATCTAGTAGTTGCTGCCCGCTTTTGTTCCTGTGGGGATGTGAAGGGAGGGGAATGCTGTTTTGGCCATATGTTTGTCTCCCTGTCTAACCCGAAAATTACAACACCGGGGGGCCGCCAGGGGGCAGCAGGGGGGTCACGCAAAGTTTGAGAGAAAGGGGAATTTCTTTTTTTTAAAGTTACATTTTTTTTTGTGGATGTTATTAATAACTGCATATCTATCAATCTATGTGTCCTTTGATGCCAATCTTTTAATATTTTTTATTTATGAATATTCTATTTTATTTTTTGGTTTTTAAATCACACGACCGCCCTTCAAGCCAATCAGAATTGAGCTGCCGCTACGGAGAGTGAAACTGAGTATCTGCTCAGCTTTTGGAGCAAGTGAGAGCTAGTGTATATTTCGCTCTGCAGCTGGATGAGTCCACGGATGTAGCCAATATTGATGTTTATATATATGAATATAAATGTTTATTTAGTGGGAATGCTGTTAACAGCATTCCAACTAACTGTTCTTCTACGGACAACATTTTTATTATTATTCCGCCGGGTTATTTTGGCCCTCTTCTCCTCCCGCATTGAACATCGCAGAAACTCCGTTCAAACATCAAAACGTTCAGCTCGGTCGGGAATCGATTGCTATTACTTTTCTCATTCATAACTTTCATAATTCCAGAGATACGTCCCATACTACATCAAATTTTTAACATTGAAGTCAATGGAGGAAATCTTCAACTCCAACAAATCTTCATGCGACTTCAACTGCTAACTGTTCATTCATACTTTCACTCAGAAACCTCATTCCAACTTTAAAATGCTACACATCTTTCTGACATTATTCGTGTAAAACAACTTTTAAATCTGATTCTTACTTTTAGAGATATTAAACATTGTTCAGACCTTGTTTTAGAGGTTTTCTTCACATTTGAACATTAACGAGAGTGCGTGATGTCACAGTTAGAG